CTGCTAGCTCTAAGGCAGTGGGCACGATCGCTGGGGGGAGGGGGCACTGCCAACGTCATTGGTGGAAGGCTGCGAAAGTGCGTTTGGCCTCAGCTCTTCCACCAGTGACGCCCGGCAGTATCCGCCCACCCCAGCCGTGGCCCACTGCTTCTAGACACAAACGAATCATCCACACGGTACTGTATCAAATTTCGTAAGGAAGTTATTCCAAATCACCCCTTTTTTACTATAATGACAAGAGTATAAAAGTGAAACCCACTTCGCGTCTGGTAGGGTTCTCCCATATATCAGTCGAGAGGTAGGCATCGTCAGGCGTGTGAGATTTCTCAAGGAAAGTGAATAGATCGCGGAATCTGTAATTGTACTTTCAAGAGGATTTTAGGCTTAGTATACGTAAAGCATAGCGAACTGAGTCTGAAATCATAATACGAGCACTTCACTTCCAATGACGCGGAAAAACTATGATATTCTGCCCGAGTAATAGGTGAAGTATTCGAAAAAAGATGGTTTCGTGGGAAATGTGACAAGACAATTGCATTGTGCCGCCTAGTTGGCGTGGATAGAGACGCCGCGCTCGACAGACGAGTTGTCTAGACGGGAAAATCTGATATTGCAAATCAATAAATTGCGTTAAATTACGTTGTCTTGCCTGTCTCCCGGTTTATAAGCTAGAATATAGCTGGAGTTGCCTACTCTTGACCCCCCCCCTCATAAAAACCGCTTGATTGCAAGTAAGAAAGGATCCCTGCTGCGTTTGGAGCCCTACCAGGGATCCCCGGCACGATATTGCACATTTGTGTGGCCGAATTAAACAACAAGGGAGTCTCTGGTGGGTACCTTTTAGATAAAGAGACACCCGAAACATAGTTCCTAGGGCGGGGAGAAATCTATTCTATACAATTAGTTCTTACTTATTCCTGTAACTACTGATGAGCTGAACACAAAGATTGGAATACTGCCAATACCCGTTCTCAAGTCGGCGTGTATAATCAGCGATCTGAAATAAGAACGCTTAAGAATAAGGCATGTCTCACATGAGACCACTGGCCAAAAATCCATACTTCCTGGTTTCTTTTCGAGAATTTCAGCGCCAGTCCGATATTTATCCTCTCTGGTATAGAAAGCGCTCCTTCTTTTTCTGGAGGACGTTCATGCAGCAGGAACACTGTTCCAGTAATCCGTGACAACAAGCGTCCATCAACTGTAATTTTTCCAAATAAAGAAATAGCAGTAACCATGGCACAGAATAGTTTACCTCCAATTCTACGCCCTGCGTCATAATTGTTCATCCACTGCATACTTAGATTATCGTAAGACTCAACTATTGGACCGAGATCCACTGTTGGCCATATTGACACTGTCAGACGTACTCTGCCTAAACATGTTAGCGTCATGCTAAGTGATCTCAATGAACCACTTCAAATACAGTTATGACGCAGTTGGGCAACGAGGAGGGGGGGGCATTTTGCACTTCCGCTGCCTCATTAGTTCCTTTTACAGGTCTCACTCTGGTGAGAAGGTGGTCTCACCCTGTGAACTCATGTGAAGCGGACACTCCCTCCCTTCCCCCCCCCCCCGGTCGTCGAAGTGCCCCTACAGTTTTACTGTGGAAGCAGGAGTTTTGTCGCCACGCCCATCAAGGGCGAGTTCCAAGTGCGAATAATTCATTCTCTTTTCAAGTGTTTGACTTGTGTAGAGGCAAGTGGCTCCATTTATCACGTACATGGTTCGCATTTCAACCAAGGATCGGCTCTCTTCTGGGCCAACCAAGCCTTTACTCTCTCAGAGAACAGTAAAAAGGTACCAGCCTTGCTTGAGAGGATGAAACATCTGGCTTGTGAAACAACATTGACTGGCTCCCATGAGTTATATAATCCATATAACATTAAATTACCAATGCAACACTAAATGAAACTAGAATGCGTGGCGCATCCCAAAGCGGTTTTGATTAATGTTTCTCTTAATTCTTTCGAACATACACCTGTCCGGGTAACGCAAAGGTCACTGAGCGGATAAAAACTGCGCACATTTGAAGGAAAGCGCAGCCAACTGCATTAAAAATGAGAAAAAGCTGCGGAAAAGCTCTAAAAATTCCAGCGCTCATAGGCTCTACACCACGTTTGAGGTGCCACGTACTCGCTTCCGTTCGTGTAAATAGTATTTCATACGCGACTACACAACGTCTTCTGAGGGCTAAGCAGAGCACTTCTGAGTAGATCTACAATGACGAGATGGCATTCGAGATTTGATCTCTGAACCGGGAGACGGTAAAGAGGATCGTAATTCGCCGCACCGCCACGCGCGGCGATGGGCGCGGCGTTTTCATAACTCGTTTTAACCTGTCGAATGGAGCACCGGACTTCATGTAGACCCCGTCATCGTAGACAGTCATTACTGTTTTCGGTCCTTAATTGCATTTTGTCGCCATCTACTACCTGGAACCATCGTCCTTTGCAGACTAGACGTCGCACGCGACGCCCAGCAGCGCGGCGAATTACGATCCTCTTGTCACATACCCTCTGAACCACGGTGAGTGGCGCCACCTGCCACTACGCCACCCTCAGTTCACCAAGTTCGATGACGCTGCGTTTATACTTTGCGGCAGCGTAGCGTAGCGTAGCGCTTCCAGCGTACGCCAGCGGCAGTGTCGGGGAAAGGATAGATATCGATCTAGCGTTCCCAGCGCCACCAGCGTACGCTAGCGTACGCCAGCGTAGCGAGGGCACGGGATGTATAGCTATCGATCTAGCGCTCCCAGCGTTTCACGAGCGTTTCGCTAGCGCTTGCAGCGGCAGGGAGTAGAGACTATGGGATAGTAGGAGAGTATTCTGTACTCTCCTACTCTTCTATACTCTCTAGCGCCGCCGAGTATTTTGTACTCTCCTACTCTTCTATACTCTCTAGCCCGCCGCTGGCAAACGCTAGCGAAACGCTAGTGAAACGCTGGAAGCGCTACGCTACGCTGCCGCAAAGTATAAACGCAGCCTTAACAAAGTTAGAGGAATTACCGTCGTTATCGACAGCATCGACGAGAGCTGGGTATCCGAATCCTTCCCAGGATGGAAGCATGGCAAAAACCTGAAAAATATCATGCTAATTTTCCTGGTGGCAAGATATCATACGAGACAGAAACCCTTATACCTTCGAGTGTTTCGGATAAGCCTCTGTAACAGGAATGTCTCGCAAACTTCGGCCGCAGTCAACCGTCACATTCTGGAAATCAGAACGTAGAGCATTGCGTATAAAAAAGCCGTTCATCAAAGTCTCACCGTGACAAGGAGCGGTAGTAGAACTGGTACGACTGCATTCGGTCCAAGCCACTGTTTCTGGGGTCGCAGAACTTGTTCTTCCACTGTGTATGTTATCCCAACAAAACGTCGCACGAAAACAATTGAACGTGACAGATTAGCATCGATGCCAAACCGAGAGAGCATTCTGGAACGACGCGGTGCTTAGAAAATTGTTCAGCTAACAAGAGGGGCATTTAAAGGACACCTGATGTAGGATGAGATTACTGTAATGGGACACTCCTGCACAGAGAAATAGGTTCATCTAACCCAGTTTCTCTACACGACAATGTCTTAGAAAAGTCCCCCTATCAGCCGACTTCACATGCTCCTACCTTTCTTTCTCGCTGGATAGAATCGTTGCCATCACCTCCTTCTCTTCATCAGTCAAACTGACTTCATTCACATCTCCAAGTTCATTCCCTGTGTACTTAAATCCATTTGCCCACAACGAATCCACAATTGCCATCTTGGAACAAAGTGATTAGGCAAATAGAAAGTAAAGGACAGATAAAAAGACATTCACAAAGACAAAAAAGAAATGAGATCTCACCTTCAATATTGGCCAATCGATACAGACCTCTTTGTTAATGATATGCCTTGCAGGACATTCTAAAATCGATACAGACCTCTTGTTAATGATATCCCTTGCAACATTTAGCATATCCTGAAATATTAAAGACTGAACACGGGTTCGGGGGCAGCAGCCAGACTTCGCGATAATGCGCGTCGACGCGCTACAATCGCAACAGCGCTCCAGTGCTACAGACGCGAACGCAGCCGCAGACGGCAATCGATCGGCGCCGACCGCTTGTGTATTGTGAGAGTATGGGGGAAGAGGAGGGCCTCGTTACACAGCCTGGTATCGACCGGCACTGGTCTCTATGGCTTCGGGAGAATAAGGAGAATGGGAGAGCACCAGACTGTGTGAAGTTATGCCTGCCCTCCTATTACCCCATACTCTCTCTCAAAACACAAGCGGCCAGCGCCGATTCCTTACTGTGGCAACGTTCGTATCTACAGTATTGGGGCGTTGCTGTAATTGCAGCGTGTCAACGCGAAGTTCAAACGCTGCTTCGCTGCATCTTACCTTCTCAAATTCATCCCTCTTCTTGATGGTAAGAACCATCGATGGGCGCTTCGATTCCTGTTGGAAAACCTTGATATTCACCTAAATAACAATTACCTATTAAAAACACAAGCAAACACTCTCTACTCAACGGCACGGTGCACGATGACAAACGGAAATGGCGCTCATAATGTAAACCATAAGATGTAGTAACGCGCTAGTGAAAAAGAAAACAACAGAAAACACCCCCAAACTAGGCCCTAATGAACCGACATAGCACGAGTTTGCCTGTGCTCGGACGAGCTTTCCAGCTTGCCGGTTCTATGCTCCATATGAATTTGGTGCCTTTATCTTTCGCAGTACAGATTTAATTCATTATTTCTTTTCTTGTCATTCTAGTAGCCCGCTGCCAGCTTCAAGTATATTCTCATAGCTCGCTGTAAATTCCCGCGCAATGGTAGCAGTCGATAGAAAAGGCGCGAGGTATAATCAGTACCAGAACTCGGCAATAGGGAGTGACAACGGTAAGTGGTCGGGTGGCGCGGTTGGCACAATTACTAGGGCGCACTGGTGTAATTACTACCCCTCCGCTTCTATGCACTGCATCTTCTACACCGGACAACTTGCCAGCACCCACTCAGATTCCTGATTATTGACTGTAGAACCACTGTATCACATGAATTACTAACTCGGCTTGTCGGCTTATAAGGGTTGGTCCTTACCAAAAGCTCGAGAGACCCAAAAGCCGACACTTCGAGTAAGTGTTTATTCAAGACAGCGATTGTGCAGCACAGTGATTAGAAATTTCGGCGAGAGGGAGGGAGGAGGGGGGAGGGGGATTGTGCACTTCCGCTACTTCGCATCCACGTGTTGACCCATCTGGAGAGCCTTTTCTTGAGTTGACAGTTTTTACGGTAACGAACTTGCTCCAGCTTGGAAAGAGTTCAATAAACCGGAACTAGTGTTGCAGCGAAGGTGCGAAAGCGCTGGAGTTGGGAGCTCTGCCTCCCCGTTTACCCTACCATTTCAATGGAACTCCCTTTTGCGTGGTGAATGGCACGCTTTGGGGCACGTGAGCCATGTGAAGAACGACTCCAACTTTTAGGTAGACCGTGCCGTTACAGTAGGCGAATATAACTGACCTGTTTGAGTTCAGCAGAATGCGGTAAGTGCTTCATTGTCGGGAATCCTGGGAAGTAGACGTCCAATTTCACATTTGGTAACAATCCCCACACGACGTCTTGGGGATTCAAGTGAAATTGGTCGACCGGAAGGCGTACAGGTCTAAAATGTCAAACATTTGTAACCACATAAATTCAGCTGCAAAGCTAATCTCACTTTGTCGCCTCTGCAGAGTTATAGAGAAGAATGCTTCCGGGAGTGTTCCGGAGCTTTTCTTCCGGGGTTAGAAGAATCATCTACAATTATAATAAACACTATTTTAGATAATTACCTTCCACCTGTTTGAATACCTTGCTTTCCATAGCCGCCAATAGCCTTTTCTCATCAATAAATGGAATAAGCACGACCGCTTCCCAGTCGTTTTTCTTCCCATTCAAATCAGTACGGAAATTTGTCGGGTAAAAATCTATTTGAACTATGCTACTTTTCTTTTGAACAAGCCATGACATGATTACCCTGAGTGGTATCGGAAGACATTCTGCACTAGCGGCAGGTAGTACTGCCAACAATTGTTCAAATGGCTTAAACGGTACACCAAGCTCAAAACTCATATCCATTTCGGAAAAAATCAACAACATCCGATATATAGGGTGAGTAGTGATGAGGATAAAACCTAAACCTCGTTTTCTAGGACGCATCAACAGAGAGTACACGAAAAGAATGCTGACCAGTTCCATGATACACAGCCACGGTAGTAGTAATGTAAATTCCACTGAATTGCTCTCACATATCCTTCTGCCTGTTGACGAAGCTCCGTTTTCGTTATGTTTTCATACCTTGAAATATTTCATATGAGCACCGTTTCTCCTGAAGTCAAAATCGCGCAGAGCTGGCATGCCCCTCCAATCGCGCAGTCTCATAGAACAGTCAGCGGAGTGTCTTCAAATGTCACTAAATCTGCTAGTTTTACTGTAGCCAAGGGGCGGGGAGGGGGAGGGAGCACAATAGCGATTATTCAGTAGGGCGCAAATGGCTCACAGAAGCAATGCGGCTGCGGACTTACACCGTATTCGACGCGCTTTACCTCAAAGCGCCAGTTTCCGTTCATAATCAAGTAGGAAGCGACGTGAAGGAACGGCTTATTGAAGTACATGAAGTTAGCCTTCAACCAGGAAAAGACCCGTATAACTGGAGTTTTCAATAATTATACAGATCTGATAGTCAACATGGTGAACGGAAGGATTAATAAATACTAAATTGTACAAAAACAGATGACTCTAGCTTTGAGGTAGTCAGATTTTTGCATAGTAGTACAAACATTTCCCTTATTAATAAATTTCTATATCTGTTCGATCATTGATATTCGAAAGCAAAATAATCACAACATCTTTGGGAAAAGTTTACAAAGGAGACTTTATTACAATTAACGCAGTTAAATGTTCTTACAAAAACAAATCTATATTTCACAAGTGCTGAAAGTAAGTAAACTGGCTTAATGTATTCTCACTGGTAATGCTAGTTGAGATTAACTCTCGTTTGATAACTTCATTCCTGTATACATATAATAGTCCTTCAGATGGCTGTAGCCTTCCAAGTATAATCTTTCATAATGCACGCTCGTGTTTGTAACACGCTCTGCTTATTATCCTTCATTCAGTCCGTTGTCCTGTTCCTTTCACCCATTCCTTATATTGCATAAGTTTTGCATGAGCGTCTTAGTTACTACTTCTCTTATTTCATCTTTTTCGTCAACTCCTTCCCGTATAAGTCATTGTCCTTTTGTCGTCAACCCAAGAGCTTCGGGTTGTCGAAACAACAGTTAGGTAGTTCGTCTGATAAACAAGCGAAATGGATCATGTGTTTTGGAGCGTTTTCTCCAACCAAATATTTGTTTTTCTTTGCTTTTAATTGAATGGTTTTCGCCAGGTCATTCTTAGTGTTTGAAGTTTCATTTGATGATTTTGAATGCTAAAATACTTTGGAAAGGTGAAGTTGGTTCATTTACTTGTCAGGTTTCATTCCTCATATTATTCATTTACCGAACGTCATTGTGTTAACGGAAGACGAGCCAAATTTATTTCATACCGGCTCCTATCATGTGAGAAGAACCAAGACAAGGAGCCCTCATAACAAAAGACTAATACACGTTAGGCGTCCATGAACAAGGATAGTTTGAGGATTCTACGTTAGCTAGTAAAACACCGGATCACAAACTGAAACCTGACGATTAAATGGACCAACTTCACCTTTTCAGAGTATTTTTGCATTAAAAATCATCAAAAGGAACTTATACACTAAAGATGACCAAAGGAGAGTCATACAAGACTGCCTTCTTGAGGTAAAGCGCGTCGAAAATGGTGTAAGTCCGCAGCCGCACTACGTATTGCTTCTGTGAGCCATTTGCGCCCTACTGAAAAATCGTTATTGTGGGGGGAGCTTGAAGCTTGGACGTTAAAAGAGCGAAGATCACTGAAGTGAGCGCGGCTGTCGCCCCAGAAGAACGGAAGAGCTGGCATGCCCCTCCAATCTAGAAGCACCAAGCAGCGTTCATAATTCACGACTGGACCAGTAGCGCGACTATGATCGCCGCGTTACACCACTACTCACTGGGCTACAGGGTTAAGAAGTGCTGGTTGACCAAGGAGGACACGTCCTACGCCGAGGACCTCCAGCGAGGTTGTGGGGAGAGTCATATTTAGTCGCCTGGGGTTTAGGCGCAGTTATACTTGCCTTTGAGAATGTTACTGGTGGTTGACTTTTCGCTGCTCTTCCGTTGCATGCACCCCTGCTAGAAGGCAGCTCGTTGTGGGAGAAAAAAGTGGAGAATTTCTGGAAAACTTGAAAAAAGTTGAGAAGATCGTCGAGAAGACGATAGGAAGGGAAAGGGAGTTAGACTTCAGAAGTTTTGGAGAGGGGAGGGGTATTATGGAAAATTCTGCCCTAACAGAGTACGTGCCTCAAATTCCATCAACGGCGCAATTTAACAATTTAACCAGTAGTATTCCAATAATCATTAGCATTCACAATGAAAACGACCGCGAAACTCCGTTGCATTTTTGAGCAAACGTCCGCAGTTACTGACGTGCTTTTGTTAAAAGGCCACGGCACTTAACTATGCGATTGCGTCCTTTTCCCTTGCTATTTTTTAATTGTTTTTCGCGATCTCGGTCAGGCCCCTAACTTTGTGACTACTTAAAATCTGCTGCATGTTCCCGTTGCAAAACCCACGATAGCGGCCACTGAGGACGGAGGTCAAAGCGTCGAAAAGTGCGAAGGAACATAAGGCGAGCCAGATGATGAGCTTTGCAGGAGGATGGTACTCCCTTATGGGTGAACCCTTCAAACGTTGTAGGTTTAACGTAGTTGAAGGGAGGGACCACTACTCAGAGCCTCTGTATACCTTTTCCTAGTCAAAGTCAAGTCATTCATTGATCTGTCTGCACGCGGTGCGGCTGTGTTTCGCAATCGCTCGGATCAACTCGCCTTAATTATATGTTCTTGTCACTTTTTGTGTTGTTATTCGAAGTTTTATCTACCTCACGATACACTGCCTCTCCCTTTAATTGCTATTATTACTACTTTTTTAAACATTCAATTGATTATTGATTTGTTATGTTGGTTCTGATGTTTCACGTTGGTTCAACATGCTCCCAGCGGGCATGTAATAAATATAAAATATAAGTGAGGGCTTAGCGCAGACCACGTCTCCTTTGCGGGACCTTAGGCGACCCTGGTGCTGTACTCTAAGCCTAAGTCCCTATGCCATTTCGGAGAAGGGACACGAAGGCGTAACCTTTCCAAATGGCATAGAAACTGGCCTCTCCCTCAACTATGTTAGCTATTTAATCAATGGAATTTGCTTTTTTTGGCCGTTGCAGCAGCCTAGCATTCAGTAGTGGAGCGGCTGGTTGCAGTCACATGACTCGTGAACTCCGCAACTTGAGGATCGGGCTGGACTGCTCGAGTCGCGAACTATGAACGCTAGCTAAGCCTAATACTGGATAAGGACACTTTCAAATGCAACGACTCACTGCAGCTTTTCACGATAGTAATCCCGCTTGTGCCGACGAAATGAGTTACTCACACTCTTAGTCCAACAGTTCTAAAACAATTCAAATCAGACTGATGTTGACAGAGTTGTTCTACTTGGGAAGGACATTCTGCTCTTTCGTTAGTTCCTTTTGCTATTCTTCTGCAGACTCTTGTCAAGTGTACACGAAGCCCTTGCTACTGCACACCATCACAGAAGTTTACAGGCCTGGAGGCACTGGCAGTGAAGAAACAGCAAAATGTCCCCACCAAAGCGAACTGCGCCGAAATACTTACCTCTACATCATTCTCAAACAATTTGTCGTCCATTTCCCTTAATTCGGCCGCCATGAGTGCTTCACAAAGTTCGCTCTCATCTTGGTCATCATCTTGAAATAGAACACATTAACCTAAATTATCACCAATGGGTTATCCATAAAAGACCAACCACTATTCAGATGGGTCAAGAGATACGACGCAGACGGAAGACCACCATCTGGTATTCGATTAGCGATTTCAACAGCGATTTCTTCGTCTTCATCACTGCTAACAAAAGCGGCTTCATCATCAAGTGATTCTTCTGTTGTCTCCTCGACCTCATCGCTAGACTCATTGCTGGACGTAGATGACTCTTCGATAATCTGAACAGACTACCAAATAACTAAAAACATAGTACAATTCAGTTCAAAAATCATGTGTAGAAAATTCATACCCCTTCTGCTGGATCACATCTCTTGCTTCGCAGATAACTCATATCTTCCATTACTTGAAGGAAATGTCTACGATCGTTTGCAGCAAATGCTTTCAGGAACACTTCAAACCGTTTCAAATGTAGAATTCCAGACTCATTTATGTAGCCTAAAATAAATAGACAGAGAGGGACAACAGAACATGGCAAGAATGGCCTTCACAGTTCGTTCATACTTTGCGTCAGAATTTTAGAGCGTCTGAAATTGCTTGGAGTGACTCGGAAAGTATAGATATCAGTCCAGTGTTTTGAGTCTTTTGAGCGTCCGCCAGCCCTTTGAGCGACTAAGAAAGTATTTGTATCGATTAACGCTGAAAACAATGGACGCTCAAAAAGCCAGTGGGGGTTTGAAACGCTGATCCTCGGAACGCTTAGAACGCTGGCTTACGCTCAAGATGCTTCATCCTGTACTTTCCTAGTCGCTCAAGACGACAGCGGACGCTCAGAACGCTGATAGACGCTCAATATGCCGCCGCAAAGTATGAACGCACTCCTACCCACAACCTTGCTAGTTTTCAAAAAATGTCTTGATTGAAAAGTAAAGTTCTGTAGCCAAACATACCATCTAAAGTTGGTAACACTTGAATATACGTCTGATATAGCTGAGGAAGTGCATCATCATGAATATGAACATGTGGAAGATGAGGAATAAAATCATTTCCAACTAGAAAACCCATCAAAACCCAATCGTCCACAATTCTATCAATATCATAGGGAAAGGGTAACGACGTCTATAATGCAGAGTACAATACGTCTTCAAAACAAAAAAATTCTCTTCCTCAAAAGTTTGAACCATACCTTGAGAGGATCAAATTCCCATGAAAGGTACTCCCTGAGTAGAGAAAGATGCAGAAGATGAAACTTGATTTGAGATGGATTTGTTCTGGAAACGCAAAAGGTAACTCAAAGAATTCTAGCACCTCTACGTATTGATGGTCCAGAACCTATGAGCAGATGAGGCTCCAGTTTTCTTCGGCGGCCGACTAAACTTCACTTCTTCTCTCAGTAATGAAAAGTGAGGTTCATGTGAACATATGCCAAGCATCAGCTGAAAATCTCGATCGTAAACTTAATGTAACTGTGAAAAAAAATGAAGAAAAACCCACCAAATCAGCGTCGAGACCATACATGCAATGTCGAGTATTGGGGTCGTATCCAGGTGCTATTCTCTCATGCCGAATGAACTCCATTATTTTGTGTTCACCTTCACCGGGACACTAAAGCGTAATATGCAAAAAGAGAAATCCACTTTTCTAGTGAATAATCACTCTTCATATAAGGAAGCCGACAAAATTGGTAAAGATCGCGGGAATTGATTGAACAGTGAGTATCCGTGAGAATGGTTCAATTATTTTGTTTTGCGGGGTACAAAGACGCATATATTTAGGGCCTTTCTCATGGCTTACAGGGTCTAGTCAAAATTATGGATAATGGTATATACACCGGCAAAGTATTCGCAGCCGTTGCAAGTTTGCACTAGAGCTCGTTCATGCGCTCTCCATTCACTCGAGCGCGTCCGATCGTCACACCGCTGAAGCCAACGTCTTCCAGGCCTTGGGCGATCGAATCGCTCGACCAGGATCGCGCGCAATCGAATCGCGCTATTGGAATGGGTGAACGCGCTCTGGTTCAAAAAGGAAAGAAATATGAAAATTGGTAACGGAGAGTTAAGTAAACCAATGGGATGGTACTAGAAAAAGGTGCAGATGGCTGCAAAGGTCGTTCCCACGGTACTTTCCCACTGCGTCCGCTGTCGTGTCTTGAGCGACTAGGAAAGTACAGGATGAAGCATCTTGAGCGTAAGCCAGCGTTCTAAGCGTTCCGAGGATCAGCGTTTCAAACCCCCACTGGCTTTTTGAGCGTCCATTGTTTTCAGCGTTAATCGATACAAATACTTTCTTAGTCGCTCAAAGGGACGCTCAAAGGACTCAAACCACTGGACTGAATTATCTATACTGTTCCGTGGTCCGTGAGAACGACTTTGCAGCGTGGGAAAGTAAACGAGAGACATGAGAGCGCAGACTGAAATGGTGTTCACGGAAGCAGGGTAATATGAGAGAGTACCGGGAACACGCATGATCTGTGTCAGTGCACATCGTTTTCGGGTTTCTCCAACAGGGAATCGCGTTTGGTCGCTGGAAGAGGGGGTCGTATTTGGGCCTAAAGAACTCTTCTGATAGTTGATTTTTCTTGTTTCAGGAACGCTGTGAAGTGTGGGGAGGGGGAATCGCGCGATCGCCGATCGCCCAATCGCAAGTAACTCTGAACTGCGCTCTAACCGCTAAACCGATTTGATCACGTGAGCCCAAAGCTCGAGCGATCTATCCGCCATCCTAAAGCTCGAGCAGTCCGACCACTCAATCCAAGCGATCGGATCGCTGGGTATAAACGAAATTTTGAGTAACTCATAGCGAAAGGTCGGCTTTTATCCATCCGGTACTTAAATTTGTAAACTTTGAAAACGCTCACATCATGTCCGGACAAGTATACCCGTATGTTATGCCAGGCAGGATCTTTATCAACCTTGCTATTCAACCAGGATGAGAGCGCTTTATGCAGCTCCGCCATGAAAACTGTGCCTGAAAACAGATCGGATTACTACGACTAATGAAAAAAAACTGTATGGGAAACAATCCAATCATCGTTCTCTTTTGTACTTGGAGAAGTTCTCCTTCATGGGGTCGCGTTTACACTTTGTTAATGTGGGAAGTCCGCGAATCGACAGGAAGGTGCCAGAGGATTAGGCAGGAATCGTTACCAACTGCGTTCACTGGGGATTTCGATGAACGCGAACTTCATCATTCACTTACTCTCTAAAAACGCTAAGGGCAGTCTATGTAGTCGAGTCACTCAAAAAGAATGTGGTTTGCTACGGATGATGGGGCGGGTCAGGGGGAAGGGGCTTGGCGCAGCGCCAGTCCGTTCTCCTTTTTTTTTCTTTCGACAAGTGCCAAGACTGTCAAGATAAGAGTATCATATCCGCGTCAGTCCTTTTCCAACACTCGCTGTCGCTTCAAAAACTGGTGGAGAACGGGCGGCGCGCCAAACTCAACCCTACAGACACGCCCTTCACCCGCAGCGAACAAGACTGAACCACGTTCTGAGTTTCCCCTTCTGGAGTTTCTGCACTGCGGCAAACGTCACCGCACCGATAAGAAACTGGACATTCTTGAGCAATCAAATTTCGCAACTAACGGAAAACGAGATAAGGGGTCTGCAGCGGACAGAGAATACAAAAATCTAATTATGATGAAAAAGTCCGATTCAAAACATAGCCAAATAATCAGTTCATGGTCCTCTCGCACTAACGAAAATAATTGGACGGTAAGGAAAAATCCATTCTGACTAACCTGGAGTGATGCAGTTGGAGTCAAACCGCTTTTCTTTAGGCAACTCTAGACCTTTACGCATATGCGCTTGTTCCTGCTCAGCTGCCGTCCGCGCAGACCTTCAAAGTAGTTCGTCATACTTGAAAATGAATTACTTTTGGAGTATAATCGAATCAAGAACGGACATGAATCTTCTGGCACGTTGCTGATTCATCTTGGCTCTCGGAGCCACACCATCTACAGCCAAGAAAAATACTTTTTGGGGACGAATAATGTTGAACAACTTCTGAAAACAATCCTATTTAACATTATCGGAACTATATCACTCCAGCAGGAACGAAGATGGCAGAACTTACATCAATATAAGCAAAAATGTCAGCAAAAATCTGCTCTTGAGAGATCCTGAAGTTGACATCGTCATCATTAGGGTGAGAGCAGTTGTGTATAATTCCGTTCATATCCAAGTACAAATTATCGAATTCTGGGATCTGAAAGCACAGGGATGGATCACTAATATGGAAGTACAACGGAAATCTTTATTGCAAAATTTCAAAGTCATGATAGGCTGTCCCATAAATTCGAGCCAAAATTTGTTTTTTCAAGTATAAATAGCGGTGGTGTGAGACGCACTATCACTGCAAACCATGGCAAGAATCATGTTCGCTGCGAAAGTACGTCTCCAAGGCGAGACCGCCACTCTGGTCTCTGCGCTCCAATCCTGAGCCTTGGTTAGGGGAAGTGCCACAGAGTGCAGCAGCGACACAGGCCGCGTTTATACTTCGCGACACCGGGGATCCCGCAGTTTGAGAGATTCGGCGGTTCGAGAACTCGAGAATTCGAGAGATTGCGCGACGAAGAAAATTTGGGTATCGATCTAGCGACTATGGAGATTGAGCAATTCGGCGATTTGGAAGATTATTCAATCGGCAATTTGGAAGACTCGGCGACCTGGGAGGTGGAGTCGGAGGGGCTCGGCGATCTCTCAAAGCGCCACATCGCTGGATCTCTCTAATCGCCGAATCTCCTAAGTCGCGAAGTACGAACGCGGCCCCAGAGCGCAGGCGAGCCGAGTAGCACCTCTCGCACCTATCCTCTCGCAAATGGATCCTCAAGAGTATAGACTGCACACTAGGGCTTCGCGATCACAAGTGGGTCCCCCAATGGTCGGCAGGAGGAAATATAGCCAACCATGTTTTTTAATCATTTTGTGAGATATGGATGAGGATAAGATAAGATTCTTAATGCTTAGCGGAAATATTAAGTTTCAGCGAGTTTATTATAGTGTAGCAAATTGTGGCACACCTTATGGTGTAAATAAATAAATAAATAAATAAATAAATAAATAAGAGAAAGGGGGACCCCGATCAGCACCTCCGCATCCCTTCCTTGGTCAAGGTTCAGGCTTACAGAAGACTAAGTCTCGTCTGCGAAACAATCTCTGGGCGATGAGCTCGAGCGTCTGCGCACTTAGCCTTAGTTTTCTACGGGAACTGGGATGCAGAGGCTCGTCTGACTGGTCCACCTTCCCTCCCCTCACCCGCCTAGTACACCAGCGCCGCTTGGAGCAAAAGCATAACGCGAATTCATTGCAAGTGAGTCTTATAAATAAAAAATAAATAATATATCATAAACAGACCTCCGTGTCATTGATGACTTCGCTCAAACATGGATACCTTTCCGAGATCCATCTATAAAACTTTGGCACTCCCATCCCTGGAAATTAATCGCTTCTCTGAGAATATAATCAACTATAAAATAAAAATTGAACTGTACAGAGAAGATAGCCAGAGCTTTACTGAAAACAACGACAAATTTGGGATAAAGAACACACTATAGTGGATGTGGAATCGATACGAAACCGGCTTTCATGACCCACTAGAGTTTCAGTCCATTTCCCAGACGGACAGAAGTAAATCTCAGAGCGATTCAGTTCTTTGCAAGGCACATGGGCAACTTGGCTCGTGACAAAACGTTAGCTTTCTCGTGAGACGAGAAAGAAAATAAAAATAAAAGAAAAAAAGAGGGTGTTCTAAAGAGAATTTCTTCTGAACTTCCAAGTGAAAAAAGAAGGACCAGTCATGAGGGCATAAAAAGTGAGAGAACGCCACTAAGGTACGTCAACATATTTTTTATCTGTCACAAGGACCG